GAGCACATGAGAGGGGGGAGGGTCAGAGGGAGAAGCAGACTCCCCGCCAAGCAGGGAGCCCGATGTGGGACTCGATCCAGGAACTCCTGGATCATGACCTGAGCCAAAGGCAGTCGCTTAACCAACTGAGCCACCCAGGCGCCCCAGATTCTTTAATGTGAGGTTCTAGACCTTTCACCACTACCTTAGCCTCATGGGATCGCCCCCCACCCTTATTACCTCGATGTCCACCTTGGCAATAGACTGTTCCCTGTACCCAGGCCTCTGGGCCTTTCTCCCTGGGGTTCTCCCTGGCCCATGTGTCAGAATCCTACCCAGATGCCACCTGCTGGGTGATGTTACTTTCACGACGACAACACACACACATATGAGATTAATGGCTCCTTCCCTTGGGTGCCAGAACATACACCTCTCTTACACAACTTCCATTGTTCACCGTGTCATCTGATGAGCTGTAGGGGCGTGTCTCCCCACCAGGCTGGGCATGAACTTTTTAGGAATAGGGCCTGAGCCACTTTTACCTTTCTCTGCACCTCGATTCCAGAATACAGCGGGCCATTGAAAGCTGGGTTTTGAGTGAAGAATTCTGCACTAGACCGAGGACCATTTGGGGCCCATGTATCCCCATGTCTTTTGGTGGTGTTTATTTCCTGGATCCAGTCTTGGAATTTGTAGGACACCCACAGCACATGGCTTGGCAGCCTGCATCCCTCAGTCTTGGCAGAAATCTAAGGCTGCGGGGGACGGATGCAGAATGAGCCTGACGGCCAAGTGTGTTCAGTGAGGAGGAAAGCCAGTTAAGTCAATGAGTCAGGGAGGGGCTGGGGAGACCCAGGAGCAGTATTTGCTCTGTGGAAACAGGGGCAGCCAAAGTTGAGGTAAGGATTGGACAGTGACCTTGAAAAATTGAGAACTTTGTCTCCGTGGCAGGTTTGGGCCATTCAGTGATTTGTGGTCCTTGGCCTTCCCCCATTCTTTACAACCTCTGTCTTTCTAGACATTGATTTTTTTAAAACTATCTAAGTACCAAGGGGACAGGGTCACACTTTTAAATTAGGCAAATGGAAGCCTTTGCCCATGTTGAAAAGAATACAGTTTTTGAAGCTCACCTGCCCCAGCCCACGGCATAGTCCTCCGGCTTCACTCCCAAAAGCACACACACCACAAATGACAAAGCTACTGAGACCTGCAAAGAAATAACTTAGAATTCCACCAGATATATACGCTAACAGATCCAACGGAATTGGAAAACTCCCAACACAGACGGTTCAGTAGATGAGCAGGAGACAGTGGAGCTTTTGTCCACTGTGGGTTCCACTGGGCCTGCTGGTTGTCTGCACGTTCTGTTCTTAAAAGTAATACATGTTTGTTGTGGAACATTTGGAAAATGCAAAGAACAAAATTGAAATTACCCCACAAGCCTACCAACCAGCGGCTGCCTCTGGGTGGTAGGACTGTCCAAGCTTGACAGTGTCCCCTGGTTTTTGAAGCAATATTCCTTAAAGATCCCACTTCATTGATGGCAGAATATGAGCAAGAAGGTGTCTCTTGGCAGGTGAGTAACCTAGCACTTCACCTGCCCGTTTGGTCACTTACTTGGCACATATTTTCTGAGCATGGGAATTGGAAAGAAAAATGCCTGAAGGCTGGCCTGAGCCCACCTCACAGGGTGGCAGGCACCGGGTAACACTTGGTCATGGATGACAGTGTTACTCCCCCAGACCACACTCCTGAGGGACTGAAGCCTGGGGACCGATGCCAGAGCCTCAGTCCGGCACTGCCTCTGGCTTATGACTTCTTGCTCTCAGGCTTGCACAGTTCAAATCTTTGCTGGCGTTAGGCTGAGACAGCCGTGGCATCTGACCCCACTCTCGGGCTGCGCCACCCTGCCCATCTCCCCTGGACTCCCCTGAGGTGGCCTTGTCTGTCTGTCCTGATGGCTTCTGCTTGTCCCCTTGGACCCCTAAGTGAATGCATTCCAGCTCCCCACCGTGGAGGCCTGGGAGCCCCTCTGTGTCATTGAGGTGATGTGTTTCTCTCTCCTGTGGTCCTTTATGATGTTGTAACTCTCAGATGGTGGCTTTATGTCCGTGTGCCGGGCACACACTGACTGGGGTGAATACTACTTCCTGCAGTGCTGGGGAGGCGGGTGGGCTGGGGTGCGTCCCCACAGCACCTAGTTTACTCCGTGCCTGCACATCCATCAGTCAGGATGATGGTTGTCATCGCTGACACTGACGACATGTGGGTCACATGCCAGACACTGCGTGCTCTGTACTTTACAAGCGGCGGGCGCTCCAACAGCCCCGAGGCAGGTACCTTTGTTATTCTTTTTTTTTTTTTTAAGATTTTATTTCTTTATTTGAGAGAGAAAACACATGAGAGAGAGCTTGTGGAGGAGGGGCAGAGGCAGAGGGAGAAGCAGGCTCCCCGCTGAGCAGGGAGCCCTATGCGGGGCTCGATGTGGGACTCAATCCCAGGACCCTGGGATCATGACCTGAACCGAAGGCAGATGCTTAACCGACTGAGCCACCCAGGTGCCCCTACCTTTGTTATTCTTGTTTTCCAGAAGAGGGGACTAGAACTCAGTGAGTTTAAGTAACTTGCCCAAGAAAACGTTAATAGTAATAATAATAATAATAATAATAATAATAGGGGGCAGATGTGGGGTTTGACCCCAGCTCTGTCTGGCTCTGAAACCCCTGTTGTTAACTGCTGCACCGCACTGCCTTGGCAGGGACTCCTACCCAGGGAGGTATGCAGGACCTGGCTTATCCTGCATTCCCATTTTACAGATGAGAAACCCGACTCTCTGTCCAGGACTCTTCCTGCCCCCCGGTAGTCCCCTGGGTGCTCAGGGAATGCCCTAATAGGAGAAAACACTGGGGTTTGCAAGTAAATGCACTGATGGCAGAACAGGAGAGGGGCCGAGACAGAGACCAATAAGGCCGGGTGAGCTCACATGGAGGGAGACTTTGGATTATTTTCACCTTTCCTCAAGTGTGCAGGGCTGGGATGGTCAGGCCAGATGAATGATGCCAGAGCCTTCAGTGTGACCTGTGACCCTGTAGGGAGGCCATGTGTTTGGACTGTGTGGGATTCTGGACGTCTGCCCAAGAGATGGCATGCTCCACAGAGACAGGATCCACTCGTTCATTCACTCACTCATTCACCCACTCAGCACAAGGTAGCCCTGCTCCTGCAGAGCCATCCGAGGGCAGACTGAGCAGATGCTGAGTGTCTACAGTGGGGGCCGCAGCCCAGAAGGACAGGGCTTTCGGGAGGGGCTTTTTCCCTTTCTGGGGCAGCCAGCCCCTGACTTTCCTCCAGTGTTGAAACTGTTCCTGTGCCTTTTGAAGCTCTTCCCTTCCTTTCTCTCCCCTCCCCTCCCCTCCCCTTTCCTCTTTTCTTTTCCTTTCTTTTTCCTTTCCTTTCCTTTCCTTTTCTCCACCCCCCCCCCACTGGGATGCAAGAAAAGATTTAAGTCCAGCTTTGTGATGAAAGAGTATTTAGTCATTTTTCCCTCTGTACTCCCTCAAAATGCCATAGACCTGGTGGAAGAAGCTTTGTAGAATTTTTGCAAAGAGGCTGTTTCTGTCTTTGGAACAAAGTCTGTTGTGTGTACATGTGTGGGGCATATGAACAGGCCCGAACACCAGATTGCTCTATTTGAAGAGGGTCAGGTCCCTGTATGTCCCTGCTAATTCTGTCCCTAAACCTGTTGACAACCAAGACTGCTTGTTCCCTCTCTAAACCCTGCTTCCAGCACCAGCAGACCAGGACAGATTCCTTTGGATGTTTACCATTCTTAAGGCCAAATCATTCTTTTAAGGAAAAAAATTATATGTATGTGTGTGTATATATGTATACACATATATATATAACGAAACATTTAAGTTTTTTATAAAATGTATATTTATTATATATAAATTTATGTTTGTGTATAAATTTA